ATGCAACAAAAGGATGCACACTCATATGTATCACACTTTCTGTATATTTTATTGTATTTAGCTTCAGATAGATTCCAGGACCCTAGGGCTGCAACTAATGATTATTTTCATTATCAATTAATCTGCCGATTATTTTTTCAATTAATAATTTAGTATAAAAACCCCTAATAATGGCCATCACAACTTCCCAGAGTCCATTTGTTCATCCCAACCAAAAGATTTTCAGTTTACAATATGACAAAGGCAGGTAGCAAATCCTCTTGTTTGAGAGGTGGGACCAGAGAACGTTTGGCATTTTCTCACTGTTATTGCTTGAAAACTTTATTTATTATTATACAAATAGTTGCATAGTAGTTGATTATTTTTCTTTCAGTCAATTAATTGACTGATCATTTCACATCCACTTAAACAAATTTATTTTCAGGATAAAACCCCTTGAGATATACCATCTCGTTTACGAGGGGGTCCTGACAAAAGACATACAATAACATAAGACACAAAACAATATGCATGAAATAACAGACATAGTTACACTTATAATTGTATATAAATATAAAAATACAAAAACTTGACATTAATTAACATTAAAAAAATTCAAAGCTGATGCAATAATAATGGTAAAAATTACTATATTTGTAAGGCATCTTTTCAACAACACATAAATGCATATATATGTATATACGCATAAATACATACATATATATGTATATACACATAAATACATACATGTGTATATATATGTATATTCTCTTATATATAACAAATAAGAGATTATTTGGAATTGCATGCTGGTTTTTCTTTTGACAGTTTTTCGATCAGTCATTGATATTTTTAAGGGACCTTCAGCATAACAAATGCCTAAACACCAACAAAACATCTTTTTCTGTAAATTCGTGTAATTTCTTAATGCAATGTAGTTTTTCTTCACCTGCAGGTTTTTACCAATGGTGTACTCATCTGATTAACATCGGTAATTTTAGAGGTTCCATATGATCCGACTGAGATCTTTGCTGCTGTTTCTACATGAGATATATGCAGTGTGTGTTTCTTTGTGCCTCATGTGCAGCGATGGACATGTATGTGTGTGTTGCTGCCTGCATGTGTGTCTGATTGTTGCATAAGAGGATCTGCTGCTGTCCCAGAGCTTAACTAAGGATTTAAACCTCTCTTTCTCACTCTCTCTTGCACTGTCTCTTCCTGTGTTGTCTGTCTCTCTAGCGCTCTCTGTGCACGTTCTCTAATCTCTGTAACTGCGTGTATAGTGTAGGGGGATGATGTCATTATTGAATAAGTCAGTGCGTATGCAGATCGTATGTTTGCTTATCTAGACTCATTTGAGCAGGAACATTTCTTTCTGTTCTATGTGAATATGAAGTTCCCATAAATAACTAGCTCAATTTTAATGACACCTGCTCACACACACAGAGCCCATTATAACTTGTAATTGAAGCTGTAATTACAGTATAGTGATTAAGAAAACTAAATAACCTCTATGGGAAATTATAGTAGTAAGATGCAGTGCAGTAATGCACTTGCCTCACAAAAGTCAGAACTAACTTAGGCCTTGTAGATCTGGATAGGTTCGGATGAGACTCCACGAGCAGAACAAGAATATTTTGTCAAAGAAGCTGATATTACTGTTGATGAAGGATTTGAATGAACATGCCAATAGAATATTTTATATATTTAGTATATGTAGTGTGCAGCCTTAAACGTTTATTACTACTGTGGTTAATAATAAAAAAAATAGGATAATAATATAATATACAGCAAGTTAATGTTACACCATATTAATCTCTGTATGAAAATGATCTTCTCCTGCCCACACTGGGTGGTCAATGTTCTCTACCCGGGAGCAGCACTTAACTTACCTGTTACCTAATTGCAACATACACTAGATACGTGGATGAATACATTATTGCTCACCTGTGGCTTCATCAGTTATATTGACTTAATCCTATTCCACTTTTAAAATTGGACATCTGGAAGCCGTAAAGGTCAGTGCTTTTACTTAAGTTAATGCCTTCAACCTCAGTTTGTCCTTTTTGGTGTCACAGGGCCAATGTGTTTTTTTATTTTCCAAAGGATTGAAATGGTATGGCTGCAACTACGATCATTTTATTTATTGATTCATCTGCCAGTTATTTTCTCTATTAGTCGATTAATTGTTTGGTCTATAAAACATCAGAAAACAGTTAAAAATGCACATGTACAGGTCAGTGAAAAATTGTCTATAGGTCAGGGTCATCAAATGTCTTGATTTCTCAAACCCAAAGTCCAAAATTTGTTATTTTACTACTAATGGAAGACGATGACAAACAACCAATTTTCAAATTTGGAAAGTCACTTAACCTTTTTGGCAGTCCAAACCCTTTTTGAGGGTGAAAATATTTTGCGACCCCCCCTTCCACCTCCATCCTACTCAGTGGAATCAACGTTAGGTAGCTAGCTTAACGTTGCCTTTTTTTGTTATCTCTTCTTTGGCGTTTTATAGCGGTTGGCATTAGTGCCACATACTGGATTAAACAGTGCAAAATATTTACAGTGTCCACCCAAAGTGATTTAATTCACAATTATAGTCCATTTAGTTATTTTTAAAAACTTTTTGTGTCTATAGTAGCATTCTTGCGACCCCCATGGGAGCAGGTCCCGACCCCCTGACTTAAATGATTAAAGTATTATCAAAATAGTTACTGATTAATTTCTGTCGAGCTGTTTTTTCAGTACTGCCACTCACTGGTGGTGCTGGTGCCCACATGTTGGAAAAAAATGCAGCAAAAGTGCCCTCTTTGATGCCTACGTGGTAGATAAAATATGATAAAGTTCCATCGAAGGTGCTTTTTCCAGCAGAGAAACAGGATGCAGTGTCCTCCAGTGGAGAAAACATGGTGTGGTACTATATACACTGCCCGACATGCTAGAAAAGGGTTTGGAAGTGTTTGACCATAATTGCATCACGAATGTGTGCTGGTGGCCCACTGCATGCAACTGGTGCCCTTTGTAGTTTGATTGCTCCTGCTTCTCAGACAGCCTAGAGTCTAATGAATATAGGTGTACATGACGTAGTTATTATGGGTATCAACTGGCCTTTTTTTCTGCTAAAAAAAATATATCACTGCTGGATGACAGCTTTTTTTCTGGTTGCACCTCCAACATACTCTATCCCTAAATGGTGTTTACAGAGCCTGGCACATATCAGGAGTACATTTTCATGAACTCATATTTTGTGTTCCATACTGTTATCTTGTACCCTTATAACTTATAATAAGTGTGACTTCCAAACCATGAATGTGAATGCTATACTGGTTTTGAGTACTTTTACTTACTTTTTTGGTCCAATTCAAACATTGCTATGCAGTCTTTGTATCCAATTTAATATGGTTTTGCCACATAGAAGTGAACAAAAACAGGTAACAGGTGAAATTGAACAAGTGGTGATTCTGTGCAGCAATGATGCAGTCAAGTTAAAACTAACAATAAAGCAAATATCAGTTATAATCAAGCCATGATATAACAGCATAATGATGATGATGATGATGATGGATTTGATTACACTGATGTCTGTGATGATGATGTTGAGGACAATGATGATGATAATGACAATACACTGATGCTGATGAAAGTGATGACTGGCAAAAAAGGCAACAAAGAATGGCATAAATGGTTTTAAAAATGATCATTATCAATTAATAGATTAATCCTTTGGTCAGTAAAGTGTGAGAAAATAGCAAAACATTTCTTAAAGGTGACGACCATCAGTCCAAGACCCGAAGACATTCAGTTTACTAACATATAACATAAATAAACACACACTATTGACAAGCTGAAATTAAACTGAAAAGTAACTTAACAATTCTTCGGTAACTAAAGTCTGTCGATTGAATAATTGATTAACTGACTAATCATTTCAGCTCTAAGGATGGCGATGATAGTGATATTAGCAGTGGCGGTAGTGGTGGTTATTATACTGGTGTCTGTGACCCCATTTATATCGGCTATTAACATTCAATGTGTATCTCTGTACTTTACCCTGATAAGAGAAAACATGTTCATTCAGATGTAAATGCACGCAAAAAGAATTACAATCAAAATGTGATCTGATCAGCCAGACCATATTCTAGGGTTGGGTGATATGACCAAAATCTTCTATAATATGTAATTTTATATCACGGTAATGGTGTGTGTATATATATATATATATATATATATATATATATATATATATATATATATAACAATACAGTAATTGTTCTGTAAATTCAATTAAGAAATGGTTTAAAATAATCATACTGTACCATGCTTCATTGCATTTGATTATTTTCTTCTTTGATTAGGAACTTCCATACAAACAAAAACAACTTCTCCTGCTCTGTATTTACAATTTAACTCTCCTCCTCCATGTTTTCTTGTCACTCTCTTGATCTGCGGCGGTTGGTAAACCAGCTTCCAGGTGCATTACTGCCACCAACTGTAGCCTTACGTCACATGAGAATGTGGTAAGCAGCAGCCTGCTGCCCCAGTCATGTTACCTTGCCTTAATCCAGCCCTGATTTGCTACCTGGCCTGCCCAGAATATATAGCAGAGACACTAAGGGATAGCTCCTGGGGTGGAAATGGTATTGCCAAATCTCTACCAGTGGACACATTTCTACCTTCGCACGGTATATACTGTCATTCTTACAAAAAAGATGCGCCCTGCAAGTTGAATCTTTGTCCAGATAACTTATCAGATACAGATAGTATGTTAATTTCAGTAGTAAACGGGGTCTACGGTGATGATGTGGAGGATAGAATGAAAATATTGTTAAAGATAGTGATATTAATGCTGATAATGATGTGAGTAATGGGGAGGAGTGTAATGGTTATAAAGATAATGACCTCTTCCATGTGCACTGGTGTGTTTGTTTGTGCTGGAGGAAAGCCCCCCTGCTGTGCTCACTGTTCAGCTGTGTTATTTCTCACTGATTTACTCTCTGTTTCTCTCTTCTTTGTCTGTGCAGATTGACTTGGAGCCAGAGGGCAAGGTATACGTGGTCATTGATCTGTCCGGATCTTCCACTGAGGGTAAAACCACCACAACACACTGTTTTACTAGTGAAAGGAAATAATTCACACATCAAAACACACATGCATACACACAGGCCTCTAGCTTCAGGACGGTGGTATGTTCTGGTGGAAAGTTCAGCAACGGCATGTGCAAAGCCTGCAGTAATGAGTCTGGAAAGGTGCAACTATTTAAAGCTAATAAGCCGTGTGGGTTGTCCTTCTTCTAGCATATCAGCTACTGATATCATGAACTTCATTACAATTTCATATAACTTTATTTCAGGTTTGGAAAATGCTCAGTTCACCATTAAGATCCATCAGATTCCAGACAAACTAATCATATTTACCGGGAGCTTCTGTCAGAAATTTGAGGAGAAACGGTTTAAAAAAAGGAAATAGCGGTATATCTCACAAAACTGGTGATGATTAATCAGTTATTTATTATACACATTATTTTTCTCTGTCATGAAAGTAGCAGGAGATGCGTTATATTATTTGACAGGACTGCATGACAAATGGAAGCATTATGCAGGTGGGAAAGGCTATCAACAAGTACTGAATAATATCAAAAAAAAAAATCTGATACATTTTGTTTTTTACAGCAGAAAGACGCAGTCAGCAACTAGCTGGTGAACATAGTGGAGCATTTAGCAGCTTAATAGGTAGACATTTCCTTCAGGAGTTGGTGGAGACCAAAAACAGAGCAAAAAGAGACTGGCTATTTGACTTTATGTATATATGGATATTTGCCAGGTGGACTGAAATACCATCATGATATTATTCTGTAACTGTTGGTATGTAAATTATAGAAGATTAATATTGTCTTCACATCTTGTTCTACGGCCCCGAAGTGGTCAAAACATCAGTTATTGCAGGTTTAATATTATACACTGTAGATTCGTCTTCACTGCCAGGTTACTGCATTGAAGAGAGTGCAATAGAAAGATTACTGTAAAAAGAAAAAAGGCCAAGCATGAAGCTTACCCCTTTTCTCTCTTGGGGCCTTTCCAAAACTAGACTCTCGCCACTTCCACTCCGTCACGGAGTGAACTCTGGTCTGAGTCACACTCACAGCCAAATTGAGCCCTCTAACCCGCGTAGGGTATACATACAGCGGCCAACCATTTTTTTATGAAAAGATTGATATTCATTGTAAAAGAAAAGCCTATATATTTGAACCTCTTTAGACCTTATCTTATATGAAAAATATTACATTCACAAATACAACATTTCAAAATAAATCAAACATATTGAAGCATTATATAGTCTGAAGAATTAAAATCTGTTAAAATGTATAAAAACTTAACTATTTTTCTTATCTATTTTTCTTTAATGCCTTTGTTGCTTGTTACGTGATCCTCCTGTGTATCTAGTTGTGTCATGGTCTATTATTCTCGTTTAATGTAGGCTATTTTGTTTTGGCTGAAGATTTTCGCATGAGATGAATATGATTCACTGAAAACAACAGTGTTATTGTCTATCAGACAAGAACTTTTTTTTTTATTAAACACAGTATAACCTTTGGGCTACGTTGTTAACCTGTGAATGGTGATATGAAATGTTAATGTCGTTTCTGAATTTAAAAATCCTACATGTTAACCAGCGAAGTCACATGGAACTCACATTTGAAAGAAAGGTCCCCCATCGTCCAGCAAAGGGTGTTACACACCTTCAACAAGCCTCGGCGTTGGAGGATTTAACAAACCCACTACCACGCCGCCCTTGTTGGTTTCGGATGGCACTCAATGTAGCGGACCCTCCACATTAACGCGGAAACGGAGTGGAAGTAGAAGTAGATAGGGAGAGCGAGGAGCAAGCAGTTTTGGAAAGGCCCCAGTTCTCTATTTCCTTCCTCCTGTATTTGTTAGTATTGATTAAAAATGAATACATCCAGGATATTGCTCTCAATTAGCCTCTCCACACACATAAACTCACTGACATTGCTGCCTGATAAGAGCAATTTTCACCTGCACCTGTGTATCTTCACACCTGGTTATAAATAGAAACAGTTATCTGCCTTCCAGTGAAAGTGTGCACACACACACACACACACATACATATATATATATATACCATAGACTGTAGATATATACATATATTTATATATATATGTATAATTATTTATATATTTATTTATGTGTGTGTGTGAGTATAGTTTCTCTATGTTAAGACTGATAAAGAGAGCAGGAGAGAGTGAAGAGAGAGGGAGTAGATTCTTAAAATAGCAGGTAAGATTGAGCCACAGATTACTATACATACACACATATGCAGACTCAGGCGTTTGTGTCTTGCCTTCTTCATCGATGATTGGACACTCTGTTGTGACCCCACGACCCACTCTCTGCCCACTCCTGAACTTATTCCCTGAGTTCAGCTGGCTTGAGTGCTTGTCATGTTAATGTATGATGATAAAAACAAATGGTGTGTGTGTGTGCCGATAGGAAGGCTGGAGAGCAGTAAGGGATGGAGAGATGGAGGGTGAGAACTAGAGGAAGAGGTGGTATTTTTAGCAGATTTATTTTTTTTCCCCTAGTGCAATCTGTTCTCTGCAGCTTCAGAGGAAGGACTGGCTTCTCTTTCCTCTTTCTCCTCTCCTCTCCTTATGCATCTGTTGGTCTCAGGAAGCAAATAACAATAATCTGACCTAATCCATCTGCAGTCTCTCCCTCTCTGTGTCTGGATTCCCTGCTCTCTCTTTCTTTATCCTTTTCTGTTTCTTTTAAATACATATATTTCTACATTCCTAAAGCTAAAAATCTAACCTTTCACGATTGCGTGCTTAAAATGACCAGAGCAACATTTTTGGAAAAGCTTTTTTTTATATAATAATAATAATAACAACAGCAATTCTAGTATGTTTAATTTATTTAATTATTTAATGTCAGGGGGTGGTGATGGCACAATGGATAACCCAGGTTCAATCCCCCACTGTGACCCATCCACCATTGTTTCTCTGAGCAAGACACTAAACCCTTAGTTGCTCCAGAGGCGTGTGACCTCTGACATGTATAGCAGTTGCTTTGGATAAAAGCGTCAGATAAATGTGATGTAATTGATTTTCAAAAACTAGTTTACAAATTTCTTTGCAGACTTGAAAGCAGTACAGCTACAAAATAGAATAAAATAAATTAAATTAAAGAAAATAATTAAAAATAAGAAACATTTTTTTAATCTTTAAAGAAGTTTACAAGTGTATGACAAAAGTTTGAAATTGTGTCCAGTTTCTCTATAGTATTGAGTTTGGCATGCTATTTCATAAGCTTACAAGAAAGCCACCTTTATACCACAGGCCCCTTCTGCTTCAGATTTATAAATACCATCTAATGTCATTTTGCATTTCTGTCAGTTTAATTCTGTTGTCTTCAAGAAGACTGCCTGGGTGGGACTGATAGATGGATGTCATTTCTAAAACCACTCTTTCTTCCACATGCTTTTAGATTTAGCAAGCATTGCTGCTAGATTCTATCATGTATTTAGCTACGTGAGGCTTGTACAATCCCTGCTAATTACCACATGAATACTCCTTTATAGCTTTATTCACATAATGTGACACGAGTCTGTCTTGTCTAACACATTTATGTAAGAGAAATGAGCTGCCAGTATTCAGTATTCATCCTCCCGTGATGGAGGATGAATAACTCAATGATTGTGTCTTAATGAGTGACAGCAAAAGCAAAAGCACAGTTTGTCAAAGTGACTTTGTGATAAGTAAGTAGCAAGGATGTTGGAGAAAATATCATCCGTGTTAATGCAGTCACAAACAAACCAAAAATCAACAGAACAATCTTCAATAATTGATGTATCTGCGTGCTAGAAATGAACTTGCCAAACATCAGTTATGAAAAGTTTAACCATGAAACGTTTTATTTTTAGTTGTTTTTTCTTGTGGGTTAGATGGTGGTGCAGTGGTTAGCACTGTCACCTCACAGTAAGTAAGTTCACCCCATGTCAGCATGGGTTCTCTCGGGGTGCTCCGACTTCCTTCCACTGTCCAAAGACATGCAGGCTAGGTTAATTGGTTACTCTAGATTGTCCTTAGGTGTCAGTGTGACTGGTTGTTCGTATATATGTGGCCCTACGTTGGACTGGCGACCTGTCCAGCATGTACCCCGCCTTTCGCCTGATGTCAGCTGGGATTGCCCCTTCTCGACCCTGCACACAGGATAAATGGTTGACGATGGATGGATGTTTTAGTTGTGTTTTTAGTGTAATTTGTTGATTTCATTCATTAATGTTGTACTTCTACAACAACATTTAAATCTAGACACCAATAGTGCACAAGGTTCAATGTTGTTACTGTAACTCAAAACAAGACACAAGTATTTAAATCTTAGTGGAACCTTCTCACAGCAATTTTTCAGTGAAAGCATACACCTGACAAATTTACTTGAGAGAGTTTTTGTCTTTTCTAGCTTCTACTTTTTTTAATTCCGTCCTAATATATAATTGTGAAAATGTATCTACTGTATTTAACATTTTCAGCATTCTTTCAGTGGTTTACCTTCAGCTATAAGCTATAAGTGTTTCTAGTTTTTTAGTTTTATTTTATTCAATCTTAATAAATTGTTGCACACATGTTTCTACAGCTTATTTAACATTGGAGGATCCACTTCAACTTCTTTCAGTGGTTTGACTAGCTACAACTTCAATTCCCCTAAGTGCTTCAATATCAGTGATTGTTGCCATTTCAAAAGCTCCAAAGAATGTGCACACTTTCACACTTTCATACGTAAATGCAGCCATTGTATTCAATCTTGAAAGTTTAATTCACAAATGTATCTACAGTCTTACTCAACATTTAAGGAGATACTTCAACTGTCACGTCAGCTTCAACTTCATTTCCTCTAAGTGTTGTAATTGAGTATTGCACAAACAGATCAACTGCCACATTATCTTCCTTCAGCAATGTCTTTCTTTCTTTTTACTGATTGTGTTTCATCAGAAAAATGTAGTAATCATTATATGAGAAGCAGATGGATTGTTGCCATGGTTGTATTGTTAGTAATTTTTTATGTCATGTTTGTTTATATCACCATCTGTAGTACAGCTTTTCACTGCTGGTCTCCTACATGTTTGTGTCAAAACTGAATCTTCCATCTGTCTAGTATGTGTGTGTTTATTGGACGTCCATCTCCTAGTTGGTCATTCGGCACAACGCACGTCTGTCTCCACGACTATCACTCTTAACTGTTATCATGCCTCATCACTCCTCCTTGTCAGCATGCCTGTGTGTATGTGTGTCCTGGACAGATGGATGATGTATTATGTAAAACAAAGTGATCCCAATAATGGCCTGTTAAGCTGACACCCCCCTCCCCCCCCACCTCTCACACACACACCAACACCACCATCACACACAAATAGACAGAAACACAAAACACACACTTTCGCTCACATACACTCCTACTTTCACACACACACACACACACGCACAGAGTCCCTAGACAACCTGTCTGTAATCGAACTCTGAAGAGGCTCAGCAGTAACCACATCTATAACGCACCCAGGAGAGGGATGGAGGGAGAGAGAAAGAAAGGCAAACTAGGACAGGAGCACAGAGAGAAGGAGTGTGTGTGGGAGTGAGAGTGGAGGTGGTTCTCTTGTCTTAAGGTTACCCTCGGAAAGCATTTATGTTTCCGGGGAGATGCAGAGAGGAAGGGAACGGCTGGTTGGATGGTGTTCGCTGAGGAGGAGTACTTTAATATGCTGTCCTTCGTTTTAGTGCCCACACATGAAAGTATAAATAGCATGCACACGTACGTATGCATAGGCCTCTGGTAGGTGTGGGGTGTTTGTGAGAAAAAGGCAGGGGGGGATGAGAGGCCGTTGAATGATTAAACATCTCAAGCAACATGATGCAAATGATCCTTATTTGTTCAAACCGTCTCAGGAAGTAAAATCGATGGGTGTAAGAAAACATCCGGAGCACTGTGATTGTTAATACTCTTCTAAACTGGCTCAGAAACACACAAAAGTTCTGTAATTTCCTCTTTGCAGATTTATTTTTGTTGATGAAGTTGTGTCTGTTCACTCAACAGCCTCGGGAACCAATGAGAATGAAGAGCGAGTGTTTCGAGAGAGGATTGGTCCTCGCCGGCGACAGGGCGCCGTCCGAAGACGCGTCCATCAAGTCAATGGACACAAATTCATGGCCACCTACTTGAGACAACCAACCTACTGCTCACATTGCAGAGATTTTATCTGGTAGGCAACACACACAGATCTGTCTGACCTAACTTACCTGTTGTTAACATTTCGTTAAACCAAGCTGGCTGAAATGCTGACTCCTCTGTGTGTGATCTGATAGGGGCGTGCTGGGGAAGCAGGGATACCAGTGTCAGGGTGAGTACTTTTTTCTGGCGGATTCCAATTTCTCAAATAACATTGCACATCATGTATTATTTAAGCATGAGAACACAGGAGGGATTACATGGTGCTGAATGACAGCAGTGATTTGGTCTCAAGCCACCTTCACCCAGAGCCATAGATGAAGTGCATTACATCAACACGAGAATACAAAGTAGTATTAAAAAAATCTTTGTTGCTATTTCTTCTGTGGAAGTAAACATCCTAAAAATCCATCTGGACTGACCTGTTGAGGTACTTTATTGTTGCCCAGACTCGCAGGGAGTTACAGTCATATTGGTTGACTGTTTACCTTGTGATTGTTTTGATGGAAGATAAAATAGGTGCCAACTCAAGAACTTTAGATTGTATTTCACCAAACCCTGCCCCTCCTTTGTAGACATTGAGTTATCTTAATCCCATTTTAACCACATGGTAGTTGTCCCTGCTAGATATGTTAGAAATAATTAATTTGAAAACAGTGGCATTGAAAGTAATCCAGGTTTTACTAAAGCTTCCAATATTAATGTGGGCTGTGCTTCCTTAGTTATGGCTATTATTAATGCAATGATATAAAAATATTAATAATTCAGTTCACTTTAACCTCTATATACCTCACTGTGTAGTACTAATTCTTTCTATATGTATGTGAGGATGTGAATACACAACACTTAAGTGGAAATGTCAACACTCTTTGTAGGCTTTTGTAGATTTTAATTATACTGTTTCAGAAGTTTTAGAAAATTGCTTTCTTACATTTTTATATTGACTTTTTAATGTGGATCACATTCAGCCGATACCCCCTTTAATAAGACAAGTCCTGGCATAGATATTTAATCAGTGTATCGAATTGATGCATTACTTTCAGAATCACTGGAGAACTGGGATAACGTTGGTAATTAACATCACATATTTGATGTCCCTCTGCTAATCAAATTGAAACTAATTGTCATGTAAACTTTGTTTGATGTTGCTGTGCTTCCAGTGTGTACGTGTGTCGTCCACAAGCGCTGCCATGAGCTCATCATCACCAAGTGTGCCGGGATGAAGAAGCAGGAGGACACGCCTGATGAGGTACACTCAGTGACATGCAAACACCCAAGAACACATAGAGTATGGTGGTAGAACATTTATTATTTATTAATAAACTGTTACATATCTTACTCACATAAAGACGTGAAAACACACTGAATCGTGCAGAAAACACTGAATATAACTCACCATTCAGGATTTTAGTGAAAAAAATCTGTGTTAACATGTGTACACTGTGTACTAGCACTTGAGCCACATGCATTATTCCTCCAATAATGCGACGGTGACCTCTTTGTAAAACTGTGTGTGTGTTTGTTTCTGTGTGTGTCTCCCTCTGTAGGTGGGTTCACAGCGGTTCAGTGTTAACATGCCCCATAAGTTCAGCATCCACAACTACAAGGTCCCCACCTTCTGTGACCACTGTGGCTCCCTGCTGTGGGGCCTCATGAGGCAGGGCCTGCAGTGCAAAGGTGAGTTCATGTGCACTGGGGATTTTTACACTGGGAGTGCACATCGATGCATTTGAAGGTGCTCACGTTTTGCAACTTTGTTGAAGCCTAAACAATACATGCATATATTTATTTAAGTCAAAGGCTGTAAATATAAAAATTAAAGATGACATTTTCAATACTGCTGTTAGACGTAAATCTCAAAAAACAAGGTAATTTGAAAAAAATCTGCCACGTGTGTACATGAATATCTGTAGGTATATTAACATTTTATATAATTTTGATAATTATTTGAATATAATAGTTTATGAATCAAGCAAAATGTGAAATATTTGCTGATTCCAGGAACCTGCAACTTCTTAAATTTGATGCTTTTCTCAGTAAAAAAAAAAAAAAAAAAGAGATATTTTTGAATAGTTGTGGACTGAGATACGACAGAAAATATTCATTAATAACGGTAGTTCTATAAAATGTTGTTGTCGCATCCCAAGATGATGTCTGCCGTATTAGCCCAGTTATTTCTTATCTTTAGTAAGTGGCACCATGGTGCCTAAAATACTACCTGTGTATTGATGGACACCTGTTTGCTATTGATCACACCTGTGACCTTCCAGCGTAACATTAAATAAAATTCCCATGTTTGAGTCAGAACGCCTTTCTGTGTTTAACCTTCCGTGTGTTTCTTTGTTTGTTATGTAGTGTGCAAGATGAATGTGCACAGACGCTGTGAGACCAATGTAGCTCCTAACTGTGGTGTGGACGCCCGAGGGATTGCTAAGGTCCTGTCTGACCTGGGAGTCACACCCGACAAGATCTCCAACACCGCGCAGCGCAGGAGGAAGGTAATGAGTCACTCTGACTGTGGCACCGCACATTTATTCCCTCATAAAGACTGGAAACAGGGGGAAAACAGCTAACCTGGCTCTGTTTAAAGGTAACAAAATCACCTACCAGAACCTCTAAAACTCACTAATTAACATGTTATATAGTGTTTGTTTAATCTGGACAAAAGCCAAAGTGTTCCTTCCTAGAGTCTTGTCAACACTGTGAGGTTGCCAGGCGGTTGATGGTCAGCGGATTTTGTTACCTTAGAAGAGAGCCAGGCTAGCTGCTACGCTAAGCTAACTGGCTGCTGGTGGTAGATTACATACATTAGATTGATACATTTACTGTATAGACAAGTGATTTTATCATCTTCTCTTCTAACTTTTTAGGATGCTCAAAGTACTTTAAACCTTTTTTGAGAAATTATTCAGACAACGCAAGATATTTGTCTTGCCCGGGATTTCATTCTGTGTATTTCTGCAGACATTAATGGACAGGAAATAATAAAGTCACATGCTTCAGCTGAGAAACTGAGATTCAACTCCCTGACTTATGATTCCACAATTTTCAGAGGGCAGCCCAAAGGAACGGTCATGTTGTCTCTCTCTGTCTCCAGTTGACTCCAGGGCAGGACCCTCCCCAGTCTCCTCCTGAGCTCTCTCAGGCTGAAGACAACAGCTTCAGCCAGCCAGCTGTCCCCACCTCCCCCTCACAGCAGGGTAACACTGAACACATCACACACACAAACACACCATCAGAAAAATCAGATTTGACACAAACAGGCGGATATTTCAAAGCCCTTTGAGATGTGTTCTTAGCGGCATGTGGTTTTAACGTGTTAATTTTACCAGTAAGAGGTAGCATTTCCATTTCAGTAATAATATTATTGCTCCTTTTAAAAAATAAGTTGTTAAATGTGTTATTGTTGCTGTATATATAAGATTAATCTTGAGTTATCTAAGAATTATCCCTCACCGCCCACCTCCATTTGGTTGTCACAGTTAGTCATCATCCTCTCACACTTTGCAAGCTGAGAAATAAAAGTTAACTTTCTCATTGTGGAAAGATTCCCATTTTTGTTTTATTGAGCCAAACGATAACAACAACACCGGTCACTGCTGTTATTTTATCACCCCTGGTCAGTGAGACTGTAACTGAGTCATCCCAGGTTTTAACAGAGGATGTGATCATCATTTTTAAAGGTTTATTGAAAAGTAATCAGCAGCAAATGATGAGCAATATTTCTAAAAACTAGCATAACAAGCTGAACGCTGACAGGAAAAAGGACATTCAGCCTGTTTTCACTGATGTCTGATCTGCTTTTCCGTTGACACCCACAGACTTGGCAGGGTTAGAACGCCTGCAGGACGCACTGTCACTCGACCAACAGGGACCCCAACACACCTCCTCCTCCTCGTCAGCCTCCTCCACCACCTCCTCTTCCTCCTCGTCTTCCTCAGCAGGCAGGGAGAACGGACAGATCCAAAGGAGGACCCTCAAGGACTTCAACTTCATCAAGGTTCTCGGCAAAGGGAGCTTCGGCAAGGTGCGACGACACAGAGGAGGCGTTTGTGGGGGATGTTTATTTATTTACCGCTCATTATTTTCCTAAGAACAGTTATTTTATTTTAACACGCCGTTAGCCAGAGTTCACATTATTCATAACTGCTGAATTATCAGGAGATGTTGGGGAATTTCAGGGACCAGAACAGGTGGCAGCAGCTGTGTGCAGTTTCCCTCTCAGCCCTACAGTGTTTTAGCGTCTTTCAGCTCATTGTTTTGATTTTATGGTCGCAACTTTATTTTTTTAGTTCACTCTCACCACTCTTATTAGTATTCTTTTCAGCCAAAACGCTTTAAAAAACTGACACTATCTGAACAGCATCAGACAGCTGACAGAGTTAGCCAGGAGCTGGTGAACATCCATCTGTCCGTCCATCATCCACCGCTTATCCTCCGTACAGGGTCGTGGGGGCTGGTGAACATTTAGCTGCTAAATAGGAGAATAAAGTGGAGACTGAAACAGAGCATAAAATATTGAATATTGAATTTACTTCGGCCAAATAGCTAAAAAAGGAATTAAATGTTTTGTTGTGTCTGCTGGATGTGTATATAGGGAACAATTGGCCCAATAAACTCTATGTTTGTTGTAATTACAGCTCATAAAAAAATAAGTAATTGATGCTTTAAAGAGCGTCTATTTTAAACTAAAAGTTTTTCAAACATTTGCACAATTGACACGATTTGTCGACTGTTTATCAACCTGTAGTTCAAGAATCATGTTCGACAAACAATCCGTGCTGATTGAACGTAGATATCCTCTTCACAACATACATTATTTTCAGTGTATGAATATATTCGACACCTGAAGTTGAAGTCTATTAACCAACATTATCTAACCGTTAGAAAGTTTGCTTACTGATCTTCTGCTTTTGTTCTTTCTGCTCGCTTCCTTTCTTCTGTTTTTTTCACCCATCTTTCACGGCATCATCTAAACCCCTTTACTCTCCCTCCTATCTCCCCTGTCTTTTATCTCCTATGCAGGTGATGCTAGCGGAGCTGAAGGGGACAGAGGAGGTTTACGCAGTCAAAGTTTTGAAAAAGGATGTGATTCTGCAGGACGACGACGTGGACTGCACCATGACCGAGAAGCGCATCCTCGCCCTTGCCCGCCGACATCCCTACCTCACCCAGCTCTACTGCTGCTTCCAGACACGGGTAGGACCAAGGGACAGCACGTGCACATGCAGATTTGATAGTTCATCTTTGTTTTCTCTGTCTCATACCTCTCTCTCTTTGCAGGACCGTTTGTTTTTTGTAATGGAATATGTGAATGGAGGAGACCTAATGTTCCAGATTCAGCGGTCCAGAAAGTTTGATGAACCTCGCTCTCGTTTCTACGCCGCAGAAGTCACCTCAGCCCTCATGTTTCTGCACCGTAACGGGGTCATCTACAGGTAAAAGTCCCAAATTGTTTTATGAAATCTCTCAAATCACTTTGAGCAAGAAATATCTAATAGATTCTTTATGCTATTTCATTTTCTGTCTTATTTTAGAGGTGAATCCTGATAGGAAAGTTATTATTATTTGAAGAACTACTGTAAGGTTTATTAGAGAATTTTGCAAATCGTTATCTTACCAGGAACATACCAGAAGGTGTATGACATGTTTTACACTTTTATTGCTTTACGGGGTGATTCTCAAGTTTTGTTTTTTGTGTTTTTTTACTTTGCCTGCTCACTTCTCCCAACAAGACCAACTGTTATGGAAACCAGATGGTGCTAATTCTCTAGCTCTCTCTTTTTCTTTCTCAGGGATCTGAAGCTGGATAACATCCTGTTGGATGCAGAGGGACACTGTAAGCTGGCAGACTTTGGCATGTGCAAAGAGGGCATCATGAACGGAGTCACCACCACCACCTTCTGTGGCACGCCCGACTACATCGCCCCTGAGGTGAGCTGAGCTGTTGTATTGTCTCCCTTTGTTTTTCTGTTGATTAGATATGCAATGTAACTAAGTATATTTACTCAAGTGCTATACTAAAATGCAGTTTTATGTTACTGGTAGGGCTGCAACAGTTTAAAACCAAAAGATATTCAGTTTAATATCATAGAACACTAGGAAAACAAGTATGACAAGTATGGTACTTACTTAAATCTGGTTGTTGTCAGGTAAAAATCTTGTCTTCTCCAAAATGCGAACCATTGATTAAGTCTGAAAACTAGCCTGGTTTCAGCACGACTTTTATCATTTAATCTAAAATGTTTTAGAGAATATTTTCAGCATGTCTCCGTCCTATTTTCTTTTTTACTTTGTTCCCTTCTTTCCTTTCCTTCATTTCATCTTTTTTCTTTTTTCTTTTCTCTTTTTTTCAACGGATCCCAAAAGATAAAATATCCCTCAGACGGCTGTAAATTATCTCTAATTTTGCCCTTAAAGGAAACTATGAATTACCTTTTGTGTTAAGCTCTCTTGACCTACTACCAGAACATGGCAAACATCAGAGTGCTTGATTGTAGTTAACAGGTGTGAGTGAGACATGATATATTTTATATTACTTTATACTCGAGTACTTTGCACTCGTGGACCTGTGTTGCAGTACAGGTGGAGGTTGATGTCACAGCAGCATCTGTTCGTGTGTCATGTTGTTGAATCCAGATCCTGCAGGAGCTGGAGTATGGTGCCTCTGTGGACTGGTGGGCCCTGGGTGTGCTGATGTATGAGATGATGGCCGGACAGCCTCCGTTCGAAGCCGATAATGAAGACGACTTGTTTGAGTCGATTCTCCATGACGACGTCCTCTACCCTGTGTGGCTCAGCAAAGAAGCTGTTTCAATCCTCAGAGCGGTACGGGTCGTCTCGTCACCTTCACATACTTCTTTCAACATTTTCTTTATTTGATTATAAGAGTTTGAAAAGCTCGCATCTCATCTTCTTCAGCAGTGATTTAAATTGTCCAATAGTTTAAATTTAGATTTTGTCACAATCAGATACTGTAATGGACACAAATGCCCTGTTTTGCTTTTTGTGTCATCATTGCACATTTGAGACTTTTTATTACGAAATCAACAGAATAAAATAGAGAAATATTATGTTATGTTGATTCCACAAAGAGATTTTTACACAAAATCTTTCCAGTAATTATTTATGTGATAATTTTGGGGCCATAACAAGTTAACTCTGGTCTGAATTTGGTTGAGAAGGGAAGTTTTTTGGATGTCTTGGTTACACAGAGCCCCACTTTGTGACATGTATTACCATTAGATTTGAGCCAAAGAGCTAAGCATCCAATTTTCTGATGATTGTTTAACAACATTTGCTGTGCTGAAGGTATTTCCAGAATCATCAGACTTTTCTGAAGATCTGGATGGAAGATTATTCCGCCTGTCGTGTGATGAAAAAGGATTTTCAACCTCTTTGTCAAATTGTGAAAAGTTTTTGCTCTTTTTTTATGACATAAGAAGTATATGAATATCATTATTTTATTTAAAAATATGACATAACAGAAAGCAACATCAATATGAACAAATATAAAAGACAGTAAAATGACTTCATGTTGTACAAGTTGAGCAAGGAGGTGTATGTCATTCCCAGCTATTGTCTTTATTCAGGTTAAAAATCTTTTTTATGATGCAGTACATTCAACACACAAATTCATCCAGATGGTTACAAGAGTTTTGTAATTTTGATTCTGGAAGCGCCTTCAGATCAGCAGTACATTTTGTTCATCACAAATCACCACAAATGTTTTTTTGGGAAAATCAGATGCTCAGCCCTGCTGTGACTTTAATTTGTAGTGGTAATACATGAGAAGAAAAAGTGGGGCTAGGTTACAAATAACAGTTGTTACAACTTATTTAACTGGCTACATTTTAATGTTGAAATGCAGGCACTCTGAAATGACAGTTGTATGAAATCTAGATGTCTGAAAAGCTTCCTTTTTTGCCAGATGTAGCCAGGTTTTAACCTAGATGTCCAGGTCTCTTTTCACCTTTAAATCACCATGCTGCATTATGAAATGGATGTCTGTGACCTCCAGAAATTTACTTTGAAAGGATTTCATGCAAAAAGGTTTCACTTGAGATCTTTTAGCTGTTTGTCATTGTCCAATGTTTTTGTGGGCGTTGTTGTCATGCTATCATTCATGTTTCTATCCTCAGAGCTAACCACACGAACAAATGAAACACATTCAAAATGCACTTAACACAGAGGTGTTACAATTCAATTTGCTGTCATTCTAAGAAGAATAAAAAAGTCAGTCACAGAGGTCAAAGTAATAACGATGCGATCATAAAACCACAGTAGATCACGAAGTGCTCTTAAAATACTGAACAAACAACAGAAGAGATGAGGCGCAGCTTTCAGTGACAGTAAATAACACCAGCACTCTGCTGACCTGTTTCATCACTCTGCCACTACGCCTCTTTGTTTGTACCATCCGCAGAGCCATTAATACCTCAGCTCTATTATTAGCACTCAAATGCTTTCTGCTTGTCCTCGTCATTTTATGGATGAAACCACAGCAAAGTGTCTTAAACAGGGGGTGGGTTTTCAGACAATATAATTTCAAATTAAAAGTGCTTATTGTGTGTGTTTTTATGTGTAGTTCATGACCAAGAACCCGGCCAAACGCCTGGGCTGCGTGGTGAGCCAGGGCTGTGAGGAGGCCATCAAGACTCATGCCTTCTTCAGGGAGATTGACTGGGTCCTGCTGGAGCAGAGAAAAGTCAAACCACCCTTTAAACCCCGGATTGTAAGAAACACACAAAGACAAACACAAGCACACACAATGTTTTTTTTTTTTACATCTTTACACAACTGTAAGTCCAACAAAAATGTGAACTATGATGTTCCAATGTGACATTTTAACGTACTTGGTTTAAATGCACTTATATATATATGTATTGTATTATGTATCCTACATTTAAAAAAGTAAAACTGTAGGACACTGGTTAATCTTTTTGGCTTGTTACTCCTTAAAATTAGGCAGTGTGTATTTGTGACCCCATGTTACAGGTTGCACATCTCTATGAGTTGTGAGCAGTTGAGTCTTTTTGCTTCTCAGATTGATTTATTTGAAGAATGTGTAGTGGCCTGAGTAGGACTGGGTTGTGAATATCAACCACTGTTGTGTACCGACCAAAAAGTGTCCATAGCACTGAGCATCAAATAGTCGAGTACTAAAAATTTGGTTTCAAATGCTTGATCAGATTCTACTGTGAGTCTTGTTTATCTATTATTCTTGTTTATCTATTCCTGATTTAAAGCAAGGAAACTTTTGCTGAACAGCAGCCACTGCAGTTTCTAGAGACATATGTGGGATTATACTAAATGTTAGCATAATAGTAGTTTACTGGAACAGAAGTATTTAAATTTGAAAGTGTCATAAAGTCAATGAACTGCATGTCCATTATGCAGATATATTTACCCAAAGTTTGCTAAAATTAGCTAGCATTAGCTAAGCTACTTATTTAGCAAGACCAAATGAGGCGACAGCAGCAAAACCTGAGTGTGCTTGTTATTGCTTGTTAATTTATCTTTTCATTTTTAAGAGGAACACTGTTATTTCTCTGAAATGTTATATGGCATTTAGGCTGTATTTGATTTTAAGAAAGGTTCTTCCATGGGTGCTTTGTGTAAGTTAAACACAAATGCATTCAAGAAGTTTACATGCATGTTTACATTTCTCAAAATAAGGTATAATTGAAAGCATTTTTGTTTTGGCATGCTATTTGCACTGGCACATTTTCAAACAATACAAAGCTTTATATCTGAGGAAGTAAAAATTTCCAGAATTAGAATCAGAATCAGATTTATTGCCAGGTACATTTTCACACACAAAAAAATTGCCTTGGTATATTGGTGCTTAAAAGTACACATAAACATAAATATAGAAATATAGATAAAGAAAAGTAAAGAGATCAAAAATGTTCAAGTACAAAATATATAGTATACAAAATATTCAAAAACATGCAATCCATGTTTCACAATAAAATGCAAAAGCAAAGATTAGAAGAAATTCTCAAAAAGAAATGTTCTTGACATTAATAAAGACTTATTATGAAATACATGTATGCAATAATTAAATATTTTTGTCAGTCATATACAGAAAAGGCAGTAAGTCCTAGCAGTCAGAAGGTGTCGCTCTAATATCACTTTTACAGCACTTGATTGTCGTGAAGTTTCTTCCTCTGACGTCCTTCCCCTCTGTATGTGTGTGTGTGTGTGTGTGTGCGTGCCTCTGCAGAAGACCAAGCGAGATGTGAATAACTTTGATCAGGACTTCACCAAGGAGGACCCTGTGTTGACGCCTACAGACGAGGCCATCATCCGACAGATCAACCAGGAGGAGTTCAAAGACTTCTCCTACTGCGCCCCCGAGGAGACGCAGACCTAACACACACACACACACACACACACACACACACACACACACACACACATTGATCCAACAACACTAAACCTGGCACGTACGCACACATTGCTGACACTCATACATGTGTAGAACCATAAATCCCTTTACAAAACACACACACATACACACACACTTTGAAGCTATTGGTTGTTGTTACTTTTGGAATATTCTTTACTTGCATTGTGTTGTTCTTGTTGCCTGGGTTTATTATGAATATAAATATGAATATGACTATGAATATGAATATACACACCTGCACATGCTCTCTCACACACATTCCCATGTGCACACTTTCAGTGCAGATTTACACACACACTACAATCCCAAGTTTTACTCACACAGACACACTTTCATACACCTACACAAGCTCACTGCACATGCTCAGACAACCGACACACACACACACACACACACACACACACACACACACACACACACACACACACTCTCACACAATCACACTCTCACACTGCTTCTCTCCCCAGCACCATTATACATGTGGACTGTACAGTAGGTGCTGGGTGCAGAGGCCTGTATATAGCCTGTGTTGAGTGGCTGTATTGTGTTGGTATCGTCTGCTAGTAAAGGAGAGTCGTGGCGCATGGACAAGCACCCTACCTGTGTTATTACTGTCCTTATTGTGGACCAGTTAGGGCCAAAATACCCTTTGTGCAATACCCTGTACTATCTATATATTTTATGGTTTTGTTTGTTAATGTGTTATATTTGTCTTTTTTTTTCTCCTCAAGTGTGTGTTTTTTTGTTGTTGTTGTTAGATTGTGGTTTGATTGAAATCTTTGCTGTCGTTTGACACACTCACTCCATATCTTCCTGTTTTGTGTGCATAAAGTGAATGTCGAGCTTACAAGTTACAGGCTATTGAACTAATTATGTGGAGCGGAGTGTTACAGGCGGCCTGTGTAGCAGTTAAAAGCCCGATTTCCAGCTATTTCATCCCATCTGCTAGTTTCAGAGTCCGTGTCTGTTCTACTGGCGTGAATGTGCTGGCCTGTGGGCGTTTTTTTTTTTTTTTTGTTGTGAATGTACGTTTTCATATGTGTGAATGCATGACTTTTTTTCTCTCCCGTCAGTGTGGGACTTTTTGTCTTCAGCATTTCTGTTTCTATAGTTACCATCAGTGTTTTCAGCCCCCCCCTCCTTCCTTCCCCTCTACTCCAAAGCACCAATTCCCCTTTCCTGCCTCCAGCAGCCGTCTCACTCAGCCAAAACCACTTGCTCTTCTGACTTTTGCTTTTTTTTCATGGCTTTTCTTTCTTATTGCTCTGTTTCTTTTTTATTATTATAATTATTATTATTATTATTATTATTGTAAAGTGTATCTGGAGGAAACCTTTATGTAAAATACTATAACTATGCTATCATAGGTCTGTTAAAGCCAGGGGCGAAAAGAAATGTGGAAAACCAGCAGCTGAATACCTCTTATTTCAAACACACACACACACACACACGCACAAAACACCACATACAGACTCTCTCCTTTGCCTCCTCCCTCTTCTTCTCTCTCTCTTTCTTACAGACCCACACACACATGCACACACAGAGAAGGACTGTTGTCGCGTGTACTGTACAGTGATCTGAAGGCGAGCTGGTTGCTCTGTGTGCAGTAGAGTCGGTGTGTAGTGAAGCTTTGTGCACCCAGGGGTAGGGCTGTTCCTGGTCACACTATCTTACTCTGTGCCAAAATGTAGTGCAACAGCCAGGCTAGTCCTGTCTGGTCTGATTCCAATAAAACACTGAGCTGTCTACATCACTCCCAGACTCCTCTGTGTCATCTTTCCTTCCTGTTTTTTATCGATTCTCGCCCGCTGCTGTTCAGAGGCAGTTCTGTTCTGTGGATGCTTTAAAGTTTGTGTGAGAGAAGAAGAGAGAAGAGGGTGGAGTGGAGAGAGGTAACAAGGGGAGGGGAGGGTGATGCTTTTCCAGCTGACCTATCAGTGTGCTACAATTTTGGAGGCCTGTAGGTGATGCACATGCAAATAGGGGAGAGAAGACACGTTGGAGTCAAGTCATCTGTGCTGCAGGGGGACAACTTGCCTTGTGACAGTTGGCACCACTAATTGCCTCCCGTATTAATTAGACTACCTGTGATGGTGCAAATTGTAGCGGGGAGATTCCCTGCTGTGCTATGAACTCCTGCTTCCGCCATCTCTTAACGTTCACCATGACACAAGATAGAGACGCCTGCGGGACACGATGACAGCCGACAAGGAGAAGAGAAGGTAAAGCTCTATGTTGCTTTGTGCACAGAGACCCTTTGATAACCGTCTTCACAGTATATATGATGTTTTTGAACATACTGAATATTCAAACTGTTCTAATTTAATTTAAGTGTTTCTGTGTGAGTTTGGTCAGTAACTGAGGTGATGTGGTAAGCCCAGCGATGGTATGGTGGTTCTTATGCTCATGCATGAATAATGAGTTGAGATGTTGAGAAATTCTCTACAAGCTATCAGATAAAGAGTGTCGTCAAGCTGAAACATGACTGTTTGGATAGATTTTTTTTTTAATCAGTTTTATTACTTGCTGAAGGTAGAGTCTGAACCTGCAAAGATTCAGCTGTAGTGAGCAAAATGTACAGTAAAAAGTACAGCATTACTTAACAGTATAAGTATAGTAAGACTTATAGAGTCCTTGAGTAAAATACACTTGCTGTCTTTCATCTCTGCAAGTGACTTTAACTCGCTTGAATTTCTGGATAAATATAATTGAATATTAATAACTAACAAAAAACAAATACAATAATGTGTAAGTATGTTTAGTACTTATTACTCAGTAACTACAACAAAAAGTAAAATTTCTATGCTATCATAATATTTCTCTTATTCTCATCCAGTATGGAGTTACAGTGTGTGTGTATCCCTTCTATATTCACAAAGCGATGTGTAGTGTCTGTGTTAATGCTTTGTGAGTTTATAGTGACTCTATTGTACTTAAAGTCATTAAAATCCATGTACATTTTATTAAGATGACATGAATATTACGTGTTTCTTCCCTGACCTCTGTCCTCTGTAGGGCGATCAGCCGTGAGGCAGCCAGAAGGAGACGACGGGTTGAGTCTGACGTGTTTGGAGATTTGTCTCGTCTCCTGCCTCTCCAACCCTCTGTCCGAACTCACCTGGACAAGCCCTCAGTCATTCGCCTCGCCCTCAGCTACATACGCATCCACAAAGTGCTCAAAGGTCAGTCATCACACACACATTAAGGGGGGCTTGCATCTACATAGGCAAACATCTAACACAATCCCTGGTCAAAAGATGTCTTTCAAAAACAGGCAAAAATGATATCAATATATTTATTTAGATGACATTCATTGATATTGGTATGTATTTTTTTATATATTGCTGTATATTTTTGCAACATTTAGATAAAAGGTTATGTTGAACAGTTAAGTGCATGTCTCTGTAAAATCTAAATGTCAATAATCTTTGCTGCGCCATTGGCCACATTTATTGTAAATTATAAACAAAAATATTTAAAATAATAATAATAATGATGATAATAATAAAAAATAAAATAAACAAAAATATTAATTAATATTAATATGCAACAAATAATAATAAAAAATTGCAATCATAAAATAAGTTAATGTCCTGAAACTAAATAACATCTTCACTTAAGAGGGATTCAACCATGAAACCATGAATGAACCATGAATGAATAATTGAAATGTACTTTTTTGCAAAACGTGTGGTCTTTCTTGAGTGAATTTGATCGGTTTGTTGTGGTAAATTGTTGTCACAAGACTGGTGGGTTTTGAGACAGATGTTAGACAGAGGAAGTCTCTTAACACCTGGAACACACAACAGACACACGTAGCAATACGGCAAGTAATTACAAGAACACCACATCCTTTTTTCAAAGTTCCCATATATACTGAACCCAAAGAAAAGAAGAGTAGATAAAATAGAGTAGTTTCCCATGAAACTATTTTTCATATCAATTTTATAAAAAACCAAACAGCAACACAATCAATAAAATCACTTCCTTTTTTGCAATGGATCAGGGAACGCTGGGACAAAAGCAGAGGCCAGTCACACAGTAAAACATGGACAAGGAATGGAAAGTGGAGAGGAGCGGCGAGAGTATGGCGGAGGACGTGGTGAGAAGGAGAAAGAAACAGAGGATCTCGAAGCCTCAGAGGAGACAGACATGTACCTAAGGACCCTGGAGGGATTTCTGATGGTCCTGTCCACCGAGGGAGACATGATCTTCCTGTCTGACAATGTCTGCAAGTACATGGGATTGACACAGGTACATACACACACACACACACACACACACACACACACACACACACATTTCTAAATGAATGAATGATGTAATGGTATACATCTAGGATTCAAGATTTGAAGATAAACACGTGCTTTATGTCCTCTGACAGACTGAGCTGATGGGACACAATATTTTTGAGTTTACTCACCCTTGTGACCACGAAGAAATCAGAAATAATCTACGTCTGTCAGCAGGTGTGTTTGTGATTGTGTGTGAGGGGTGTGTATTATTGTGGGGACATGGTGGGGACTTGCCTTCTCTTTGGGGACAAAATGCCAGTCCCCATAATGTAAATAATTAAATTTCAGGATGAAGACTCAGTTTAACGTTAGGCTAAGGATTAGGGTTAGGCAAGTAGTGTTTGTATTTAGAATTAGGGTAAGTCTCCAGGAATGTAAGACAGTATACTGTTGGCAGCAAGAGTCTATGTTCAGCCTGGATTGTATATCTTGTGGTTGTGTTTTGTTTTTGAGAGATCATACAAGTTTGAACAGGTTTATCTATATATTAAATTACCTGTTTTTTAGGGGAAGTTTGGTGCGGTGGAAAGAGGGACTTTGTCATGAGGATAAAAAGTGCTCTGACGCACAGAGGAAGGAGCGCCAACCTCAAGTCAGCTACGTGGAAGGTTGGTGAAAAACAATACCTCTTGAAACAAAACTTGACAATTTTTTGCTATTTCTGAAATCTCACAACATTGTGAATCAGCAAAAAGTTTTTGATCATATTTATTTGTTAAACTTTAATCCCAATCTCTCTGGGGTTTTAGGTCCTCCACTGTCAGGGCCGAGCGAAGGTGTGTGTCGCCTCGTCTTCAGTGTCCTGCCTGCTGTTAACATGCCAGACTCTGCCCCTCTCACACACACTCCTCAGCACACATACCTTCACCAGCCAGCACAGCATGGACATGAGGTTCACATACTGTGAGCAGAGGTGATTTACACACACTTGAAAGCAGATACCCATGTATAAGTGAGTTAGTATTTATTTAAATGGGCCATTGTGCTGTTACCAACCAACTTGTATGCTCTATCACAACTTGTGAATCAGCTAAAATTTGATAATAAAATGAAACTGAAAATAAAAACCCACATAGAAGTAGTGTTGCCCTGTTCATGTTTTAATTCAGCACAGTGGTGTAAGAATGTGTATGTCCATGTTATGTAATACATGAGTCATAATTTAATTTTGCAATGTTGTAAAAAAAAAAAAAGGACGGAAATTGATCAAACTTAACGCGTGTCCACTTTTGTTCAGCAACTGCACTGATATTTATTCTACTGGTTCATTGAATGAGTTTATCCAGTGTGCTAACTACGCTATTAAGATTAACACAGTCAGTTTAATTACTTCCACGTGTTTAAAATAGATACTCAAAATTCCTCTGTTTTTGGTGTGGTGCTTATCAAAAAACTCTAATGCATCATAGATTTGATTTGTATCTGTTACAGTTATGTTGTAATGAGGTTGAGACATTTCCTGACTAAAAGAACAAAGAAGCATCTTCTGTCTTAAATAGGGATATTTTTTATTTTTTAAACCTCACTGACACATTATAAATTCAAACCCACAGAATTTTATTTTAAATTCTAGTGAAAATCTCAAAGTTCCCAAAGACAGCAAATATGAGTCTTGATGGTGAATATTTCTCTCAGTGCAAACATCATATTGCTTCCTTGAACAGCTGAAGCAAGCTGAATCAGAATATTTGATCCTGTGAGAATGTGAAATTGGATGATTTAACTTCCTTCAAGCTACATAATGGGAAACCAAAAGAGAAAACTGGATTTTAAGGGGTTAATTTAGCGTGACAAACGTAATCAGAACTTTAACTGCTGCTTTGTTCCTGTTTTACCTTCCCTTTTTTATTTTAGACCCTAAGTGAACCTTGAACTTGTGTGTGGCTTATGCTGAATAAGTAAAATTAAGTAAATTGGTAGTTCATTGTGCTCATTTTATGTCATTGTAAAGAGCTTACACTGTAATCAGGCAGTATTTTGTGAAATAACTTCATATTAATTCTGTTTGTGTGTTTGCAGAGTGACTCTACTTTTAGGTTACAGCCCTGAGGAGCTGCTTGGCCGTTCCATCTATGGCCTCTGCCACACACTGGACACAAGCTGTTTGACTAAAAATCATCTGAACTGTAAGTAGTGATGCACACACACACGCACATTACACACCTGTAAATATCTAAGTTCACCTCTCTCTCTCTCTCTCTCTCTCTCTCTCTCTCTCTCTCTGCAGTGTGCTTTAAGAGCCAGTCTGTCAGTGGTCAGTACAGGATGCTGGTGAAAGGTGGAGGTTACGTCTGGGTGGAGAGTCACAGTGCTGTCATCCCCAGCGGCCGACCCTCCAAGTCCATGCCCGGCGCCCACCAGCCACTCTGCATCCTCTGTGTTACCTATGTCCTCAGGTGTGTGTGTGTGTGTGTGTGTGTTATTTGATTTAAATCTTCTTGCAGAGAACTGAAACTAC